TTGATGTCCCATCATTTGAAAGTGATGCTCTAGATACACAAGATGTTGCTCCTTTTCCAGTCCAAAATCCTAGGGAGAGCCAATTGAATGCTCAAAATCTAAATACTTCTCAACTTGGAAAAAGAAAGGTGACTGGAGATATAAATAACTATTTTGCTCCAAGAACAACCCCAGGAGCACAACCAGGGATACGACATGCACTTGCAGGTAAAGAACCCGTTCATAGAGCAGACTTAGGTATTGCTAGATGGTTATATGATTGTTGTATTCCCATGAATGCTGTGAATTCAGCTTACTTTCAGCCTATGTTAGATGCAGTTGCAGCCATTCGTCCTGGTTATAAAGGGCCAACTTACCATGCTATTAGAACCAAATTATTGCAAGACACCAAAAAAGAAGTTCAGTTGTTAGTTGATAGTTTTAGAAAATTTTGGGAAAAGACTGGTTGCACAATAATGGCTGATGGTTAGCAAGATCAGGCAAATAGGCAATTGATTAACTTTCTTGCCTACTCTCTAAGGGGAATTATTTTCATTAAATCTATTGATGCAACAGGATTTGGCTCAGGATTGCCCATTATTATTTCTAGGGTTTCTCTGAATTTGAAAGCAAGATACAACTTATTTGATTTGAGATTATGAAATTAATTGAATGAACAATTCATAAAAATCAATCTTTCTAGGATATTCAATATATTCTATAGTTCCTTACTGTGTCAATTTCCAATTCTTGGTCATTGAGATTCTTCAAACATAGTTAAGGATGCTCAAAATCTTTGTAACTTGTTCATTGAAATGGTTGATTTTTTCGGTACAAGAAATGTTGTTCATTTAGTACCTGATAATGCAGCTAACTATAAAGCTGCTGGAAGGTTATTAACTGATAAATATCCTTATATTTTTTTGTCTCCTTGTGCTGCACATTGTTTGAACTTGATTTTAGGAGATATTAGGAAAATGGAAATTGTGACTAACTTAGCATCACGTGCATCTATGATTACAAAGTTTGTTTACAATCATGTATATTTGCTAGCTTGGTTAAGGAAAAAAGATGGTTGGACAGAAATTATTCATCCAGGGCCAACACAGTTTGCAACAACTTTTCTTGCATTGAAAAGCATTTCTGAGCATAAACATGATTTGCAATCTTTGGTTACCAGCAAGATGTTTATAGAATCTAGATATTCAAAAGATCAAAAGGCCAAGGACGTGACTATGATTGTGTTGGACAACAAATTTTGGAGTGACTGTAAAATTGTTGTATAAATTGTTTCACCACTTATTCGATTACTAAGGATTGTTGATGCTGATGAGAGACCTTCTCTTGGGTATGTATATGATGGCATGTATAGGGCAAGAAAAACCATAAAGAATATTTTTATGAATAAAAAATCCCTATACATGCCTTATACAAGAATTATTAGAAGAAGGTGGGATACTCAACTTCGTCAACAACTTCATGCGGCAGCTTATTTCCTAAATCTTGTATTCTTCTATGACAAGCAGAATTTTTCTAAAAAACCGGAGGTCATGGTTGGTTTTCTTATGGTTTTGGATAAGGCAGTGTCATCTAATAAAACCAAGTTTGTGAAAGAAAGCTTACGTTATCAAGATCAACTTGACAGCTTTGGTCGTCCAATGGCTCTTGCCTATCTAAAAACATTATGACCTAGTAAATTTTTATATTTTTGCATTTGACTTTTCATATATCTTTTGCTATTCACTTGATATATTTATTTTTGTATTTGATGTTCAGTGTGCCAGATGAATGGTGGAAGATGTTTGGGGATAGTGCACCAAACGTTAAAAAATTAGCAATGAGGTTCTTGAGCTAAACTTCATCTTCATCAGGTTGTGAAAGAAATTGTAGTGTATTTGAAAGAATACACTCTAGGAAAAGGAATAGGTTGGAGCATAAAAGATTCAATCATCTTGTGTTTGTTCATTATAATTTTTGTTTGAAGAATAGGTATTTTACCATAAATTCCTAATTATTCCCAAGCTTTACTTCAATTTATTTTGTTTATAAGTTTTATTGTATGAGATCTTCACTTTTATTAATCTTTGACATTGTCATGTGTTTTAGGCTTTTTAACAAGAAAAGATCTTTTGATCCTATTGATTATGAAAGCATCGGTGATATTGAGTATTGGATCATGGAAGATGAGGATGATTCTTCTTGCCTTCGTTATGATGAGATAGAAGAAGATATAATTTATGATGATACAACAATACCAAGAGCTTCCATCAATCAAGTTGAGGACCTCAATGAAGAGAGAGTTAATGAGATTGAAGATGAGGTTGGATGCTCTAAAATTGGAGGGCTTGATTTAGAATCATTTCCTCAAGAACATGTTGATAGTTATAGTGGAGATGAGTTCCAAGAAACTCATGCTTGGCTTAATCAAGATCCACAACTGTTTGATAAGTCATGAACTTGAACTTCTACTTATTTTTTATTAGTGAGGTATGTTAACTTCTTGTTGATACTTGCTATTATTGATGATATGATGTTATGTTATTTTTGATGATTTCAATGTCTTGGGACTTGATATTTTGGAAAGATGTTACATAGAGTTTGATTGTACTTAAGTTATGTAAAAATTTCATATCTCTCTCTTTTATTTATAGCATTATATATGTATATAATATTATTTTTATTTAATTATTACATTACCGGTCCAACCGTGCAGACCGTGACCCACTAGCCTCGTTAGTTCAATGTCCGGTCCGGCTTTTAAAACACTAGTCACAAGATTTTGGCAGATCCATTAAGGCCAAAAAGCTTACACCTTGATTCATGGGCCCTCATGAGATTCTGGAGCGGATTGGACCTGTTGCACATAGGATTGCATGGCCGCCATATCTTTCTTGTTTACATGACGTGTTCCACATGTCGCAGTTGAAGAAGTATCATCTCAATCCGTCTCATGTTATTGAGCCTGAAGAGGTCAAGTTATAAGATAATTTGACCTATCCAGGAGAGCCAAAGTGGATTTTAGACGTTAAGAATAAACAATTGAGGAATAAGACTATCCGTCTTGTAAAGGTCTTTTGGAAAGGCATGAGTCTCGGTGATACTACTTGGAAGACTGAGGAGCAGATGCGTTATGAGTACCCTTACTTGTTTTCTTAGTAAGCACCTTGAGTTGCTTCTGTTTTTGACTTTTGTGTGTGGTTGTTTGAATTTTGAGGACAAAATTCTAATTAGGTGGGGAGAATTGTAATATCCTAAATTTTATTTTAGGATTTTTGTAAAAAAAATTTTAAAATAATAATATTATAATATTTAAAAAAAATGGCAACAGCTTTCCACCAAATTCGGTGGAAAGCTAAAACATTGAATAAGAAGGAAGACTTGGGGGGGTTTAATGTAAGAAGAAAAATTGAGAAAGGTGGTTAGAGAAGATTGAGATACAAGAGAGAACAAAAGTAGAAAATGAGGGTGCGTGAGAGAAAGAGGAAAAGAGAGAAAGAAAGCGGGAGAGAGATAGGAAAGAGTAGAGTTACGGTCCTCGTAAAGGAAGGGGCAAACTTTGAAGATAATTTAGGTACATAAAATTACTTCTTTTCATCAAACTTTCTTCATGAATATTTCCTAAATATTTTACGCTTTCTAATAGTAGTATTACTATAGTTATTAGAGAAAATTTTGACATTTATATATGATGTAAGTATTGAGTTTTGATAATAGATGATTATAGAAATTTAGAAGTAAATGAGTAGTTAATTTTAATCAATTTAGATTTGCCCATTTGTTAGTTTTTAATATTTAAATTAATTTGTTTAGTTGAAAAATCTGTTATATATGGCATATAACATATTTTTACTGATTAAATTTAACTTAAATCATTTATTTGGATTATTTGACATATTATTAAGATTTTAATCAATTGAGTTTTATTTATTGGATGATTGGAGGTTTTAAAATAATTATTTTAGCTAAAAAGTTTATTATGCATGAAAATATATATGTTTGTGTGATAGTTATACCATTAAAGTTTTGATTAGATTATTTATTTATAAATATTTGGGGTACTATTGAATTTTTGATGATTTGATTTTGAGGTTTAAACTTCAAATGAGATTTTTAGAATTTAAAATATAATAATTTCATATTTGAAAATTTTGAAACATTTCTTTTATTAAAGTAAATAATTTGGCTTGTTAGAAAATTATAAGTCAGGTAAAAAAATACTTAATTTTAGGTTATGAGAGTTGTGAAAATTTAGAATATAAATCAAATTAAAAATTTAACTAATATATATAAGCTTAATTAATTAATTAATTAGCTTATACTAATATGTGGTTATATTAATTATGTAGATTAATTATTGGTTAAGTAAAGGATTGGCCTTGTGGTAATCCTTTCTATTGCTTTGACGAGAGGTAACCACTTTCTATTTGTTATATGTGCTAATATGTTGTTTATGAGTATTTTGCTATTTTAGAATAATAATGTGTTATTTGGAACTTAAGTAAATATGTTATACCTTTTGAGCTATGAAAATTGTGTTGAGAGATTTTTAGAATTGTGATTAAGAAGTTTGAAAAAATATATAATTTATATCTTATGGATTATATTGAGAAAAGATTAAGACATTGTTTGTTATATTGTGAATGATTGGTTGTTATTTGGATTTTAGATTGAGTCCTGTTTTATCATGTGGTAAGGCCGCCATTGATGCAATTGGTTGGCTTCCTTCATCCCCCATAGTAAGGGATAGGCTTTGTGGCTTCTTATTCATCCCCAGAGTGACGAATAGGTCTATATGTCTGATTGATCCCCATAGTGATGGATAGACTTATGTAGCTTGTGTGTTAGCCTTCATAGTAAGGGTTTGAATGATTGAAATTATATTTGTATGGATATATCTATATTTCTCAAGAATTAATAAGTGCTCCACTTGACACCTCACGAGCACATGTTAGTATGTATGATGAGTTGAAAAGTTGGTTACTGAGGCTTTTGTCTCACCTCGTGGTTTTTACTATCTTCAGGTGATAGTTCAGGTGATGGCCCATCAGGGAATGCTCCGGAGGCATAGTGTGATGTTATAGCTTATATAGCCTCCTTGCTTTTGTTCTATGTGCTGATTTATTATATATTGTTACATAGGGCTCATCTACTCTAATATTGTAAACTAATACTTTTAATTACTACTATCAGATGTGATAAGGTTGTTAGAAGGCCAGAGACCTTTAAGACTCTGCATGTGACACTCTTTTAAAAGTGTTGACTTTTGACTAATGGGCTCTATAGCTTATATTAAAATGATTTATCAATTCGTATATTTGAAAATATAAGTTTGGTTTGGGCTAATAGTTGAATGATATTTCTGGACTTTGAAAGTCCAAGGCTCAAGTTAATGATTGATATTGCTCGTAATATAAGTTTATTTCTTTTAACCATGATAGTAATTTTATAATTTTAAGGTTTCTTCTTTTCTATCATGGTTAATCTTTTAAATAAATTATTTGATTTAATCTAAATTGGTTTTGAACGAACAGTCGTCACAATGTGTCTGTTACTACTGTCGTCTTGATCATGCTTTTTTGTTTCGGCTTTTGTTACTGGCAAAGAAAAAAGAGCAATAGTTATAAGGCCATTTTGAAGAAAAATTGTACGTATGTCTTTTTTTTTTCCTTCCAAAAAAGACAACTCAGTCAGCTGTGGGGGAAAACTATAATGTAGGTATTTACATTAAAATGTACATATTTTTATAGTTGCAGTTCATTTGTGCAACCATTGAAGCTACAACAAATAAGTTCTCAATTGAAAATAGAATAGGCAAAGATGGACTTAGAGAAGTCTACAAGGTAAATAAATTATGAGATCAAATCAACGTGTGTGTTTCTGTACATCATTGAAGGTATTTCTCACCCCCCCCCCCTCATTATCCAACTTATTTATGATTTCAGGGTAGCCTTCTCGATGGCAACAAAATAGCAGTAAAGAGATTGTCAGAAAATTCTAGTCAGGAATTATAATTCAAAAATGAGGTTCCACTAATTGCTAGACTTCAACATAGAAACTTGGTGGCATTATAAAGATTTTTCTTCAAAGATCAAGAGAACATACTTATTTATGAATATGTTTCCAACAAGAGCCTCAATTATTTTTTATTTGGTTTGTCCCTTCTGAGCTCATCTTACAATTTTTCAATTCTTTTCTATTCATGTTCGTGCTATCTATTCTATTTTAGTCTTTATGATGAATATATTGGCATAGTCTGTAATTTGTTTTTAATTTATAGATAAATGTATGCCATGTATCTGTCATTCATTTGTATGCTCACAAAGTTACTTAATTACTCATGGGTTCACAAAAGTCAAAAGTGTTAAATTGGTCATACCGTTATAAAATTATAGAAGGAATTGCTTAAGAAATTATTTATCTGCATCAACATTCATGTCTAAAAGTAATACATCGAGATCTCAAACTTAGCAATATTTTGTTAGATAATGAGATGAATTCAAAAATTTCTGACTTCGGCATGGTTAGAATAATTGATATTAATAAAACTAGGGGAAACACAAATAGAATTGTTGGAATATTGTAAGTTCTTTCTCTCTCTTTTTCTAACTATGTCCCTATTATTTCTCTGTAACTTCTTGTGGGCATGTGTGTATCTGTTTATTTGTATATTGCGTATGCACTTTGCTATCGAATTTAAATAATGGTACAGCATCAATATATAGTTCAAATTACTTGGTTCTAAGATTCCAATATATATTGACATACATCAAGTTTGGAGTCGTTGTTGTCTGATTTTGTAGGGTCTACATGTGTGATTTTATACGTCTATTGTAGACATCAAGTTTGACTATTTTCTACAAAATCAGTTGTTTACAGTTTTGGAGTCGTTGTTTTAGAAATTACAAGCAGAAAGAATATATATTCTCAATATGAATCTCATGAATCTCAATGTACTGGCAGACTTTTAAGTGACATAGTATAGTAAACTTTAATATTTCTCAAATGATCATCTCAAACCTGTCATCATTGTCATTATTATAAGCATCAACCAGCCATTGGAGCTTATGTTAACAATATTCTATAATCGAATTACTAATAGAGCCCTATTTTAAATGAATGATTTGCATAATGGCAGGCTTGGAAGCATTGGAGGGATGAAAGATTAATAAAGATGCTGGATTCGAATATGATAGAAGCTGCTTCACATGGTGAAATAATCAAATACATCCATATTGGCTTGTTGTGTTTCCGGGGAAATCCGGGAGCTAGACCTTCCATAAGTAAAGTTGTTCAATATCTGAGTAATGATTCAATGCAATTGCCATTTCCTCAATAGCATTCTTCATCCATAGACAAATGGCAGCAGCAACCAGCAGAGCAACAGAGGCTCTACTTGGCAACCACAATCAATATTCCATTAATGAAACGTCGGAGAGTATAATATCTCCTTGCTGGAGATATCTAGGAGACTTCAACTTTTGTTTTTCTTTTCTGATTGCATAAGCATGGTTTTATTTTTAAAATATGTGTGCAATAAGAATCAATGTTTTAAAAGCCGAACTAGAAGTTGAACCAGAAAGATCAACAGGTCATAGTTCAATCGGTCAAACCGGTCGGACTGTCCGGTCGGACCAGTAACGCAATAGTTAATTTAAAACAATATTATATACATATAATTAATATATGTGAAAATATTAAATTATTAAATAATTTAGAAATACATTTAAGTAATCTAAAATTATAGTGAAATCATTGAAAATAGACTAAAACATTATATATTTAAATTTATGTATGTTTAAATATTTAATAATATTAAAAATTATTAATTCATTCAAATCAAAACATTGTTGTAAAAGCTAGGGCAGACATTGAAACAAAAAGACTAGTGATTCACAATTTTAACACCACAAAATATGAAATTTTCAATGAAATAATACTATGTGGTTATAAATAGTCTAAAAATATCTTTGGATATTTGAGGGGGGTCTTTTTTTATTTTTCTTCTATTTTTTAATTTTTTAGTATTTTTTTAGTCATGCTAAAAAACCGTTTGGTTTTCTTAAAACCGTTCTGGTTCTTGGTCCAACTCTGAGTTTCGGCTTAATGACAGCTCAACTCCTATCCAATTTGGCTCAACCATATGAACATTTTTTTTTATCCAAATCGAGCCGTTGACAAGTCCGGTTGACGGTTCAATTGGTCAAATCGTCCGGTCCAGTCCGGTTCTTTAATCATAGATAAGAATTTGTTTATTTCAGATTTGGTTTTGTTTTTGGCCCCTTTTTTCTTCATCTGCCATCCATTAAGAGGCTCTATCATTGTATTTATGGAATACCTCAATGTTGCAGATACCAAACAGAGCATTGGTGTTTAAGAAAAAGAAGAAATAAAAGCCTTCTCCTAGTGAGAATAAAATTCACTCAATGACACCTCATTCCAGAGCATGATTCGTCTTCCAAATCAATTGGTGAGCTCCATATTCTGCAGTGCCCCAAAAAGCATGCTTCTCTAGAAGTGAAAACTGAATTGAAGCATTGCTGAGATATATATATATATATATATATATATATATATATATATATAACAATTGTAGCCATGCACAAAGGCTTTGCATTTGGATTTTATATTGAATAAAAAACAACTCTGATGCGAATGGATGCACTTAACCACTTCATTACATGACCTGAATTCATTATTTATCCTTGAATCCAATATCTCTAACAATTTTTCATCCCTCCATCGATTACAAACTTGTAACAATTAAGCAAAACTTACTGTTATAATCATCTCCCTTCCATTATTAATTAGCTTATATAACATGGTTCAAAATTAAAATAATCTTCGGCGTGCATCTGAGGTAGGATTCCCTTAAATATAAGGAGCAAGGGTTAAATTAGTTGCGGCCAGAAAATTTAGATCTCCTTCGTTCGGTGGCTGTGGCGAAACTGAGACGTGATGAGAAACATCATACGTCATCTTAAATATAACAGTGATGGAAAATGTAGCATTGAATAATAATATCAACATTGCATATATGTTGAGTCTCCTCATTTTGGTGTAGTAACATAACAAGACTTCTTCTCTAATTAATTGGGTACCAAATTGAGCCTCGGCGGGCAAGGACAAGATGCAGTGAGAGCCTTGTACGACCGAGGATAGAATTCACTTATAGACATTTTATTAATAGATTCTTTACTGTCGGTATTAATAAGCTCCATTTGGCCCTTCAGAAAGAAAGCAGGTTCTCGTGGAAATGGCAATTGAATTGAATCATTGCTAAGATATGAAACAACCGTAGCCATAGAAGGCCTTGCCTCTAGATTTTCTTGAACGCATAACAATCCTATTTGGATGCACTTGTTCACTTCATTCAACGATTCAGGCTCATTTGGACTTGAATCCAATCCCTCTCGAATCTTTTCTTCCTTCCATTGATTCCAAGCCTGCGCCAATTTAGTAAGCTTAGCTAGTTTAATCACTGCCTTTGAATTATCTTATATTAATCTCCCAAATTTAAGACGATTACCTATGAGATATTAGTGAGATAAACACATTATCATAATTAATTAACTTACATAATTTAGGAGGGCATGAGATTGATCTTGAGAGTTTGTGATCTTCCTTCCACTGATCATTTCTAATATTATTACTCCAAAGCTAATGATATCTGATTTTTCAGAATATTGTTCAAACATTGCATATTCTGGAAACATATAACTACTGAAAAAAATAAAATATCAATCATAGACTTTTTTTTTGCCCCCCAATAGATAGCAAGCAGCACACGTGGACATTTCAAGCGCTACACCGGTTGTTAATTTTTTTATTAAAAAAAAAATGTAAGCTGTACTGCCTTTTTTTTTCCGTAGCAATAGGCACCGGAAAATCTATTTAATGGTCGTTAAATTAAAAAAAAAATTTAGAAAATGAGTAGCATATATCCAATTAAATTAAATGCTTACACGCGAGAATCTCAGTCTGAACTTTGAAGCGAGACATTTAAATTTTGTATATTATTTTGAATGATTTGCAATTAAGACTTGATATTTGTTTTGCAACTTCTATTCGTTATGCACAACTTATTTTGTCATAAAAAAATTTTGGACCTCGCTCTAAAAGTGATAT